GCGAGATTCTATAGGTATATATATATTTATATATGTCTATATCTAAATCTGTGTAACTGTGTGTACGTGCGCGTGTGTGTGTGTGCGTGTGTATTGCAGTTATTCATGATAGATAACTGCGCCGACGATTGGAGGATCGCAATGACATGGCAACGAATTAGTCAAATAGGGTTAGAACTTTTTATATGCGCTATACATCCAATTCCTGGCGAATACTATTTCCAGTGGACGACGAAATTGGCCAATAAAAATAAAACAATTGGCACCGAAATGGTGCCCTACGACGTAGCTTTATCACTACCTATGTTCCTTCGATTATATTTAATCTGCCGTGTCATGCTGCTACATTCAAAGCTATTCACAGACGCATCATCACGGAGCATCGGCGCTCTCAATAGGATTAATTTTAACACAAGGTAAGTCCACACGCATTCACAATTGAAATCGCAATCCCAATCTCAATCCCAATTCCAAATAATTGAGAGAGGTATTAAATAAACAACGCGAAAATTTAGTTAAATTATATGTTAAGCCGCTTTTGCCTCTACCTTTGCGCCTATCTGTGTCTTCTGCTTGCCAGGAGAAGAAAATAAAGAGGAAAATGAAATGGAAAGAAACTCTTTGCTTATTTTACATTTCAGCAAGTTTTCCGACTGATTTCTCCCCCTCTCCCTTTTTTCTTTCTTAAAGTCAAGCTCAATAATCTCTCTATTTAATGAAAGTTAAATAATCTTATGGAAATATTGTTATATAGAAATACAGTCGAGTCTCGGCAATTTGTACCACGCTAAATCAACAATCACAATAAATCGTAAAAATTCTATTCCCTTGAAAAAAAAATTCGTTCTCGATAATTCTCGATAGTTTGAATTTCTGTGTAAATCGAAAAAAAAAAAAAAAAAAACTGTTTCCCTTGCGATTTTGAATTATCGGGACTCAACTAAAAAAAATAAAAAAAAGTCCACCCCTGAATACAACCCGATGACTATATATTTCGAAAAAAAATAAAAAAAAAAACTAGATTTGTTTTAAAAACACTAATGACAATATGCAAAAAAAAGAAAAAAAAGGTCTTTATGGTCTCCCTGTGGATCATCGCATCGTGGAAAAAAAAACAAAAAAAAAGGTAATGCAATTAACTATATATAAATATACAAATATTTGTTTATTAAAAAAAAAAAAAGAATAACAATATTTCAAAAAGAACATGTTTTTGAATAGTTATTATATTTACGTAGTTATTTACAAATGTTGTTTCTGTTGTTTGAACTTTGAGTTCATTTCGATTTTTTACTCAACTTTCACGTATTTGGATTGTTTTTCATTTAATTCAAATTCTTTATTCGATTGATTTTTTAT